CGATCCATCGGATGGATGGAGGGCCGGCTAACCTGCATGTATGGACGCGTTAAGCTAATAAAAGTCAGTGATTTTAATATGCACTCATATTTCTCATCAAATTCTTCCAAGATGAAATTACCTTTGGTAGTCTATGCTATCCACATTCATTTTATAGCTCTACACTCAATTATTTAGGCTAGATGTTTCTTCTAGAACTCCTATGAGCAATAAAAACAAACATAAACGAGAGGTTCCCACTTACATGAAACATAAATGAGAACTCCATTAAGTCTTCTCAGTTATGAAAGAGCAACATTTATGTGTCTCATGTGCTTAATCCACCACCAATACATCTGACAGATGAAAGGACAGCTGACATGCATTTTAAGACACGTTAAGCTGCAAAGAACTAGATTTGCATTTTCCTTGAGGACATTTTTTTCACTTGCACAGCAACAATCAAAAGTGCTAATGCTTGAAGTAAGTTTAGGTTTAGGCTTTGGTTCTGTGCAAATAAAAGGCCATAACTAAGGTTGTCAAACCAACGCTATCTCACGACCAATTCGTACGAATTCGTACGAGTGATTAAAAGGTGGCTAATTCGTACTAATTCATACGACCTCACTCGTACGAATTTGTACGATTTGTCTAAACCCACGTGATGGGGGCGGGGTCAGGGGTAGGTCATTCGTACGAATTCATACAAATTTGGTAACTCGTAAAATATGTACTAATTAGCAAAAATCGAACGAATTTGTACGAGTGAGGTCGTATTAATTAGTACGAATTAGCCACCTCGTAAAATTCGTACGAATTGCCGTGAGATCGGGCTGGTCAAACGTACCAGTCCAGCACTACTGGTACCAGTCAGTCCTAAAAAAGCGCGTAGTCGATCACAATCCTATCTGTTGAGCGCATGAACGCAATGGCCTACCATATTTAAATGTGTAATTGAATCTGAAACTGTGATGATTGACAGTAATGACCAACGGACGAGACAAAACAACATTTATAATTTCAATTAATTCAACAGTTTTTGCTCTTTTGGTACCGAGAAATTTTACTGGTATTGGTACCGACAACTGAAATTTTGGTACCGTGACAACCCTAGCCACACTCCATGTTTTGTGTTCTGTCAAGCATATACGAAAATCAACATATCAACATTTAAAGGAAACTATGTGGTTAAAAATATGTGACAAAGAAAACACCACCATCCCAATTCAATATGCATATAGATATACGAAAAAGACCCAAACATCAGTTGTCATTCACATTTTAAAGATATCAATTGTGGTGCTGGTGAATGTTAGGTACAGTGCCACACGCTGCATGTCTCAGTTTTGGGAACACTGGTATAAGTGTCTTTTAAAAACGAGTCATTTGTAGATTTGTATTGTGTATTTGTATTTGTATTATTGTATTTTTATCTTATCTTATTTTGTATGGTTAGACCATGAGTCTGAATAAAAGGATACTACTACTACTACTACTACTACTACTAATAAGGACTTTAATATTAATGTTTTACTACATTTTAAGTAAAACTTCAATATAGTGACGCAAACACTGTGTCCTAACCAACCATTTCTGTAAACGTATATCCCATCAGGTTAGAATACAATGAAAGCTGAAACCTATAAAACTAATTTTAACATAAAGCGATAGTTCACCCAAAAATTTTCATTCTGTCATTCATTACTGACCCTCATAACCCTAACCCTAACCCAGAAGACTTGGATTAAACTGCTCGATTCATGTGGATTTATTTTACTATCTCTTTATGAACGTTTTGAAGTGCTTTCAGATTTCATTAAAAAATATCTTCATTTGTGTTTTGAAGATGAATTAAGTCTTATGGGTTTGGAACGACATGAGAGTGAGTAATTAATGACAGAATGAAAATTTTTGGGTGAACTATCCCTTTAAAACAAATCCTAACCAAAATGTTTGAGGTACATCAATGCAGCACAGTAGAGAGATGGCTGTCGCTCTTTGCTTAAAGGATTGATAGAGATGAAGGCGTTGAAAGTTTTAAGAGGGTGGAAAAACCCTTTGAATGAGCCCAGGGTCACAGAAAAGGCTGATCTCAGAGCCCACACACACAAAAAAAACCTTCTCTTTAACCATCATTTTATCAAGCACAGTTTTGGGTGATAAGAAGGCATGGCTGGCCTCCAGGAGTCCTCCGACCTTCACTAACGGCACCGTATGACCACATCGGTGCTGAGCGGCAGGAGAGGACAACAAGGGAGAGAAAAAAGAGGGAGGCGGGAGTCAGAGACTGGGAGACTGAGAGACTGAGATCTCTTTCACGCCGTGAGACAAACACATAAATCGGGAGACGGACGGAGACACAGAACAGATTTTCCATCTGTTATGCGGCAACATCTGATTCCCCATTTACGACTGCAGCATATTTTCAAGTCCAGCGAGCAAGATTGCAGCTATCAAACAATTTTCGGGTTTTGTATGCTCTGGAACTCACTCATTTCCAGTATATAATCTACATTACAAAAGAGACCGCGGAAATGGCTTCTAGATTGTGGGGCCACAATAAAGTGTAAACCGTGTGAGGCGGAGGTAAATTGAGGACAGACGGGGAAACTTTTTTTATCAACACACTCCGAGAAAAACGCTCTCCTGTGCACTTCAGACACTCATAAACAATGGAAGAAAAAGGGGACAGAGGGTCTTATAGGCGACCAATCACTAAAGCTACCAGAACAAAGGCTTGAGACAGAGCTCTGAATGCACACTGGGAGAAAAAAAAAAGGAGGGGTGCGGGGAAAGGGCACTCATTCAAAGGCTAGCAATTTTAGTCCCTTGCATGCTCAATGTGGGTGTGGGTGAGAGTCAGAAAGAAAGACAGAGAAAGGTTTCTTGTGAAGGTGTTAGTTTCATTCTACGCTCTATTTTGGACAATGCAGACACTGAGGTCTTTTGTTCTTGGAAACCTGTTGCCATAGATAGAAGCATATTGTTCGGCAGGAAGAAAAAAAGAATACAGGGAAATTATCACGCCTTTGTGAGGGAGTTGCTCTTTGCCGCCGCTTTGACATTTGTTGCTTCTGACAGTAATAGAAGACCAAAGGGAACCAATAAGAAAAGTATCTACTTCCATTTGTCGTGCTTCCCTGATCCCAAACTGAATTAAACACTCGCCAATAATGTTTTAAACTCTCCTCAAAGACTCTAAAACAAGATGGATGCCATCAGATCCCCAATGAAAAGGGGTCTCCATGACAACTGCGAGGAACCTTAACCTCACCCCTGAAGATCCCCTCTGAGAACTAATACACAAACCTTTGACATGTACCAACAAGATTAATGGGCAACCAGAAGTCTTGCGCTCATCCTGAGGTGTAAAGCGCCTTATCCCACGAAGAAATTAATAGAGGCGAACCCCAGAGTGTACCCACGTAAGATGAGCGGCACTGAAATCTTGGCATGACTAATTGTGGTGCCAAGATTCATCCATCCAAAACTCATTTATCCAACGGCCAAGATGCTCGTCTTATTTCTTGTGAAATATGTGCACAGGGAACACTTCATTTACAGTCATCCGTTTGCCAGCATCTCGAGTCTCCTAGCCCTACCCATGTACCTGAAAAGTCAAGTGCACACTAGAAGACTGAAGCTAATATTGTATGGGACTAGTATGCGATAAAATACTCTGGATTATAGTCAACTAAGTGCATTTACACTGGTTTGAAACCTGCCCGACCAGTTGACAGGTGTGCACATTGTCCCAACAAGTGGGTGAGCAGCAATGAGACGCAGCCAATGAAACAGCGAGAATGCAAACATGCATGCAAAAGTCATCCATATTTTTGGATTTAAGTGCTATTCATACCAAGGACAATAACTTTAGCGTTTTAATAATCATTCTAATTCAAAGAGAATAGTGACATTCACGCCCCAGCTTTAACAATAACATCACAGGAATCACTTTCAGAACTTTTTTTTTTCAGCTGATGAACAATAAAAACATTGACAGCCAATTAGAATGCATGAGCATTTAAAGTGGCAGACAACAAAACTGCAAAATGCGCTTATAATCAGAATGTTATCGTCTGTTGGTGTGGACATGTCATCATTATGGTTATTGTTAAAGGCTTTTATTCTTTAATTTTCCTTTATCTTTCTTATTTTATTTGTGCAAATCTTTTAAAAAACGACATCTTGTAGTTGACGCACCTGCATTTAGTTGCGCAAAGTGCACACTACATTGACAAAAACAAGAAACTTGAGTCTTTAAATATGTGCAGAGCTTCAGTCCTGCAGTGTAGCCTCGGCTTAGACAGAACCGCAGACATGTCTCTCCTTATCAGAGGAAACCAGCCCCTCTGAGACACCATCAAATCACTGTGATGTTTAAACCACCAGGGAAGAAATGTCTAGGACCATCACCACTAGCAAGACTAGTGAGGCAAACAAGGGGAACAGTAACTTAAAATGCAATTTTATAGCAGTGGTATCTCAAAATAGCAGAAGACTTACATAAAATTCAGACATTATTGCATTTTATAAGGTTACAGTCAGCAACATAGACTTGTCATAACCTCTATGTGTTAACAACTAAACCATGTTGCATTCCTTGCCTCCAATATACATTATAATACATATAACAAAAGATGTATAGATGTAAAAGTTTCAAACTGTAAAGCAGTGTAATTACACCTGCTGTCTTCCAGCCTTAGAAGAAAAAACTGATCACGACAGGCCACACCTTGCGTAACATGGAGTACGAGACAAGGGATATGGGTTACGGTCAGTGGCTCTTGTTAAGTTGACCAGGATAACCCAGATAAGCAGGTAAGCCGTAGAAATCAGCGCGCGCAAGCGAAACACATGCGTGCAACTTGCGTATCAATACACTTGGGACGGGCGACTTCATGAGGTAAACATTATGCAAATTACCTCTAGGTAGGTACAGTTTCAAAATAACAAGAGACCGGTTGAGCAGTAAAAAAAAAAAAAAAAAGATTAACCCACAAGTTACAGAGTCACATTACCTTGGCTGGACAGAAGGCACGCGCCAAGAATCAGGCAACAGTTTATCATCGTAAAGTCGCTCATTCCGCTCTTGTCCGCGGGAGGTTAAACAAATCCTGAAAACTTTAGCATAAAATCTCTTTCACTTAGCGAAGCGAACCGGAGGCGGTGTGTTGAGGCTCGTCAGGTCGGAATCTCAGTCTTACAGTCCGCTCCAACTGCTAGTAAAGCCCGGAGTGTGTGCAGGTATGTTATTGTGCTCGTGATGGTGCCGTTGAGTCCTTCTGCCTGACGAGACTAGCTCACTTGTTCTGTTCGGTCGCGAGCGCGAGAGCGCTACAGATGGAAGTGGTCGTGATGTCATCGTCGCGTCACGTCATAGTGGGAACGGAAGGGCATTGAAGTTTAGAACTTGTGGATTGGGTTCCAGAGACACCATTAAAGCGTATAATTCAGATATTCTGGTTCTCCGCTTCAAAGTAACCTACTGTTTTGTTTGAGATTGTAATCAGAATGCGAAATTAAATGGGGATTTTAATGGTCAAAAATCCCCCTGTGGTAATTCCTCTGGTTTTTACCTAACATGTGACGTTGTATATTTACAACATTCTATAGCACTGTTTTGATTCGAAATAGTAAATCGAATTAGATATTAAAGTTTGTGACAGTAAACAACAGTAAACAACAGTCTAACAAAGAACTATCGATTATGTAAAAATATAGCCTATGCTAACAAGAGAGTTTCCTGACATCATTGTATCAGTTGAAGATTTGTTTCAGTTCATATTAAATGACAAATAAACGACACGCTGCTTTATGTTCTTCAAAATATGCCCTCGTAAACGGTGAATTATGAAAATAAATGATTCTGAAATTCAATTTCCATGGGGCGACTATTAAATTCCATAATAAAAAAGTTAATTTCCCACACTGGCAAAATTGTCAGACAATATAAATCAGACGACTTGGCTGTTTTTGCATGTTCTAGGCCTAGTAGTCGAATCTGAACTTGTAAGTTAAAATATTTTAACTCATATTGGCGGACTTTCTTCATACTTACACGGACGCCCATAACTACCGTTGAATGACTGTCAAAACAATGCGATTTATTCAAATAAGGAGGAATGAAGGACAGGATTGATGAATTCAGTGATCTTCTCCTCTGGGAATGGCCTGCATACTAATCAGTGACCTCGCTCTGCCATCTATTGACTGGTCTGTGAAATTACGCGCTCACATTCATTAGCATGCAGAGCTCGGAAGATTTCTGTCAAATGAAATACAGCGTCCCCTCGATTATGCATAAACGGTTGCTTGCGTATCCGTTTATAGTTTTAACTAGAAGTTCGACAAGGCAAACTTTGATGTTAGCTGACAAAGTCTTGCCTGGCAGCTTGAAAAACTTAAAAAGCTGCGAAGTTTAAAGGTTGCATGGGCCGCGTGTGCACTTTAAATACTTGAAATACCTCCAAGAAAAGATTGAAAGGCACCTTTTTTCTTTTCTTTTCTGTTTACTGTTGAAACGTACTCATTTCAGAGACCATTTGATTGGACAAAAATCTGTGCAGTGCAGTATGACTTAGGTCCAAATGCACATATAGGCCTATCTGCTAGCTAGTCATATTGTGTTAACAGCTAGGAGTGTATTAGCATATGGATGACCGACCTCATGGCTAATAGACATAGACTAAAAAAGCCACACATTTTCACTGAAAAAGATGGCCTCTTGCAGGTGTTTAATTAGAGTAGGAACTATTGCTGGATTCGAGACTACTAAGAAATCGCCCATCTTCTACTTGAAAATAACCACTGGATCTGGACTTCAGTGGGTATGTTTACATGCACTAATTTCCATCAATTGGAATGAATCCAATCCAATTTCACAATCTGAAAGTTCTGTTTAACCCATTGTAATCCGATATACATTTACATGTGCATTAGTCTTCTGTATAGGTATTCTGAACAATTATCCAGCGTATGTGCAGTGCTGTAAAAAATGATATGATCAATAAGTCATGACAACAACATATGTTTTTACATTGCTTTAACTCATCAAAATAAGTTAAGCATTTTAACTTTTTTTTAATAAGTTATACAAGATTCAACTAATTTACATCAGTTTAATGCAATTTAAGTTGATTGAACCTAAAAATTTAAGGCAGCAACTTTTTTTTATGGTCATGCTCGGAACCAGGGAACGCCACTGAGATAATGTCACCAGAGCTACCGCAAGCATAATTGCTGTTTTTGGCTTAACGTCATAGAATGTATTTAGTAAATATTGACCACTGACCAGTTCATACGACTTGAGACATAATAAACACATTCGTAAGACATAAGTATGCAAACACATCACAACACTGCGCATGTTCACAAGGTATTTTTGAATACGATTGAGAAAATCGTTGGATTCATGCCTTAACATGATTTTTTTCCCCTGTTGATCAGATTATTTCAGGTCTACACCATCCCTTTCAATCCAATTGAAATTTCATTCAGATCAAGCTCAATCGAATTTGATTGAGGTGTTTACATGATGGCTTTTCAGTCAGATTGAGCCATCAATCCATTTATAAACAGATCATTTGGGTGCATGTAAGCATAGTGTGACGCATCTTTTCCAAGATGGTGGTGACTAAAGTAACATCCCGTTAGTTATTTTTAAGTGTTGATGGGGAAATTCCAACAGTATTCCGGTAAGTGACATTTTGAATGTAATAATATTTGTTAATTGTGATTTATTGAAGCAGCCCTAAATGACATTGTATCCTTTTGACATCTATATTCATTGTGGGGTCAAAGGCAATTCTGCATGCTCAAAGTCTAGTGCAACCACACACACTAAAAGTAAAGGTTCTTTATTGGCATTCGATGATTCCATGAAGAACCATTGGTATGGTATGGTATGGTATGGTAATTTAGCACAATTAAATACAATTTACATTGTCCAATGTGCTTTACAATATTAATAAAAATCATAAAAACAAACAACAATACAACAACACAAGTATACATTTAGTACTATAGGATAAGTGCTTCACCCATTTAAAATGATGATGAGATAGAATGGAATAATGTTTTAGCATGTGTTAAATGCCTTATCCAACAAAAATGTTTTTAACTTGGATTTAAAAACAAATAATGAAGAGGCCACTCTAATTGAAATGGGCAAGTCATTCCATAATCTGGGGCCAACTACAGAGAAAGCACTAGACTTGAGTTTTGACTTAGGGATAGATAATAGTCTCTGATTTGATGACCGTTGTGATCTAGTCGGATGATGCTTAGTTAGTAGAGCAGATAAGTAGGGTGAAGCCAGACTATTTAGAGATTTGTACACAAAAAGTAAAAGTTTAAACTCCACTCTATAACGCACTGGCAGCCAGTGTAAAGAACGTAAAATTGGCGTGATATGATTCCGTTTTTTTGCACCCGTCAGAAGTCTAGCTTCCGCATTTTGTACTAATTGCAATCGTGACATTCCTGAATGGCTAGTCCCAACATAAAGAGAGTTGCAATAATCCAGTCCTGAATTTATTTGCCTCTCAAATTTCAAAGATTCATCAAATACTACACCCAGATTTCTCACCCACGGCTTCACAGGCAGACAGAGCACCAAAATTTACTTAAAGGTGGGGTATGTGCTTCTCTTTTTTGTACATTTTTTCAAAATAACTTGAAATCCTATTCCTAACCCACTTACACCCACTGAGTTAGAAGCACTGAAATGAAAATTAAGCAATTTAATCATCTGTGGAACGGGCAGGACTCGAAAACTCCAGCCAATCATTTCCAAGACCACCAGAATCATTGGATAGTAAGTCCGTCAATCAAACGGTTGTACCACACCCCCCTCCCCCCAGCGCGCGTGACCCCCGTCGTGCGCATACTCAAAGTTTGTGACGCATGCGCATCTCGTCAGTAAAGCCGGTTCCATGATTAGTAGTAAATCGTCATTACAATCTCTCGCGCATCTGAGTTTTCGCTCGTGCATGATTGCGCGTCCATGTTTTTCGAATGGGTGGAGTCAGAGCCGGCGTTGGAGGAAAGAAGGTAGGACCATTTGAATTGTATATTTTCAAAATCTGCCGGTCGTTTTCCAAATCACATACCCCACCTTTAAGGAATGGTGGAGGTCGGAGTCTGAGGGTCTAATTAAAATAATTTCTGTTTTGCTCTCATTAAAATTCAGAAAGTTTGAAGACAACCAGATCTTTACTTCGGTCAAACAGGCCATAAGAGTTTCCAGACTATCTGATGAGTGTTTTAAGGGGAGATAAATTTGAGTGTCATCCACGTAAAAATGGAATGACCGCCCATGTTTTCTAATAATAGAACCTAGTGGAATCATGTATAAAGAAAAAAGAATGGGTGCCAAAATAGACCCTTGAGGAACCCCACACAATAGCACAGCCTTACTAGAGGAATATTCTCCAATCTTCACTGAGAAGCTTCTGTTAGTAAAATAAGATATAAACCAGTCCAATGCACTGCCAGTAATGCCTGCGCACTGTTCCAGTCGGGCAATAAGTACAGAGTGATCTACTGTGTCGAATGCAGCAGTTAAATCTAAAAGCACTAGAGCCGTATAGTCGCCAGAATCACAGGTTATTAGTACATCATTAAAAACCTTCAACAATGTAGTCTCTGTCGAATTATGTTTTCTAAACCCAGATTGAAGAGTTTCAAAAATCGCATTATCAGTCAGGAAGCTTTGTAATTGTTGTAGGACTATTTTCTCTAAAATTTTAGTCATAAATGAAAAATTGGAGATTGGTCTAAAATTGGCTAACACTGTGGGGTCCAAGTTCTGTTTTTTAAGAAAGGGATCCATTAGCATGGATCTTTACCATTCGACAAAAGATTCTTTGTAGTGTAAAAAAGTTCTTTATATTTTCAAAATGTTCTTCACACTAATAAAAAAATTGCTCTTTTCAGAACTGTTCACTGAAAGGTTCTTCTGTGGCATCGCTGCTAAAACCCCCTTTTTTAAACTTTAATTTTAAGAGCTTAGGCTGCCAAAGGGGCATTCAGAGGTTTTCAAGAAACCTGACAAAGCTGTGTTAAAATGGGCCATTGAACAACATCAAATTAAAATTTCTTATAAATAGGTAGATAATTACGGTAGGGCTACATATGTCAGTTCCACGTCCTAATACAAATAATCATTTCCTTCTGGAAATTACCACTATTAAAATCCTCGGGTACACCATTAGCAGCTTTTCTAGGAGTGTCCATTTACTGAGAGTGCCTTAAGGTCAAATGTAAATGCTGGTATATCAAGAGTCCTGTGAACTAAGAGTGACATATAGTCAGTGGGAGTGGGCTATAAATTCATCTTCAATCTATGACCTTCATATGCACCTTTTAACCACCCCACAGAACATTCAGTAAGATTCCTGAT